CGTAGATTGGTTTACCAATTATTGGCAAACTTCAAGTTATTTTCTTATCTCTATGAGATATCTCAGAATATGAACCTGTATTCCGATAAATGGATTTTAAATTACTAGTCCGGGAGAAAAGTTGGGGCTGCTAAAGTTTTCACCAGCCTCCCCTTACCATTAATGCTTCTCAATGAAGGATGGGAGTTGTCTGATGATGACGTGAAGCTCGTGGTACAAAAAAAGCCCTGCGCATGGGGTCGCGCGTCAAGAAAAAGATCTTTAAAATATTTCAAAAGCTTTATTTATTTATTAATTTATTCCAACCTGACCTCGTATAAACCAAACAATTGGGACCGAATTTCATTCGAAGGGGCTTTTAAAAACTATATAAAGTTAATATATAAAACTATAAAAAGGCTATGAATAATCTTCTATCTATTGAATCTATCTATTTGTAATTGAAAAATGAAACAAATATTTCCGTTTTAAAATTTCTTGCAAATGCTTCTCGAGGGATGTAAGGTTGTTGCATATTCTCGTCCAGATTTTGTCGCATGGATTAATAACGTAATTTTCGTTGCGTCTCGAACAATATAGCAGTCAAATGAATAACAACTCGATTTGTCAGCATTCAAGTTACTCTGTATATTTTCATTTAACAGTTATCTTAGCTTATCCTCGTATATGATCTGTTGAGTGTAGTTATTTTTTGTTGTCATTTAAATGGAAGTAACTATTTTTAAATGTGATATTTGCTAGTTAGTAGATGCAATCGCTGGATGGAATCGTTCAATCGAAATATTTGAGAACAAATCAGATCTCAAGCATCAAACTCGAGACTCGAACCGGTCTTTTCTTACTTTAACCCGCTGTTTACAGATGCATTATCCATCGTCAAAGCTATTGGTACCTATGAAAGTTTGCAACAAGAGTTACCCTCCGTAAGCCATAAGGCGAATTTGATACACGTACGTGTAAAATTTTTTAATGCAAAGTTCAATTAGCTAATTTTTTCAACAGGTTCAGCCTTTAAAGGCAACGACCAAATCATGACGATAGCGTAGCAGTATGACCGCGGCACTATAGCCGAGGTTATGTATAATAACTTACCTTCTCTAACAAAATTTTGAGACAGTGGCTACCCTGCGTTAGGTGCCACCCTGGAGTCGGGGAGCACGTACATCAGCCGCTCTCTGTCCGCTTCGGCTCAGGGTTTGAATGACTGCCTCTGTGCAGCTTGCTAGCTCGGTATGACACGACTAGGCCAACCCTTGCATTACTCTTAGGTTAGGCGACTATTAGGTCGGAAGGAAAATTCTGACCAGAAACTGATTTCGATCGGGTGATCAAGCAGGCCCAGAATAACTTTGCGCCGAGCGTAGTGACTATTCGGCCGAAGTTTAGGGGTGACCTCGAATTTTGATAGGGTTTGTGACGTCCCAGGAGTTGCGTTTGAGAAGACGGGACCGCTACTCGACAGCTCGAGTCTCTGACATGCAAAACAATACCGATACCACGACAAAACTAATTATACTAAACCTCCAATAGATCCAAGACTGATGTTAAGTTTCGAAATTATTTTACAATAAAAACTGATCTCAATTTAATGTTCAGTTATCATTATATTTGTTTATTAGAGCTAAAGCATTCTGATAAAATCATTTACAGAGGTTAATGTGAACGGAGCCAAATGAAAATAAGGTAGGGATGTTTGCTGCTTTTGTAGGAAATTGCAGTTTAATCGAAAAAGATTTACGCTTGCAGGCGCATTACCCTGCTTATTGAAGGCGCAAGTTAGTGATGCGGGAATGAATAAAAGGTGTATTAATTTTGAGTCACATTGCTGAGTTTTGTTTTCTTCGACTAGTTCAATCATTTGAAAGATTAGGTAATTTCGTTAAAATTATGCACATATCAGCACCATCATGCTGTATAGCAGACTTCTTGCACGTGCAGCTATTGAATCTCGGGCAGCTATCATTCCAAAATAAAAATCAGTGATTCCAATGAACGGTTTCAAAATTGCACTCTGTCGCAGAATAAAATTAGATAATATAAACGAATATGCTGAAAAAAAAATTTATCTATTGATGGTATGAAAACATATCTATATGGTTACCAGTAATGACGTTAAAATGTAAGATATGTGGTCGAGGATCCATCGACCCATTTATTTATTAATAAGCAACAATCAAATTGAAACTCATGAGTTTACAGGCTACATTCTTATCAGCTCAGAGGTAACGAAACTAATAAGCAAATGAGGCTGTTGAAGTTTTTATTCGATTCGACTATTTTTATTCATAAAATGTCAAAATGAAGAAAAAAATTAATACATTTATTTCTTATTACACCGGAATGTGAATAGATGGCTCAGATTCATGGTTTTAACACCATGCAAAATGCGATCCCTCGTTTGTTCATTTCTGAGTTTTACTTTTCCAACCGTCTAATCTCCCTCTGGCTTTTTCGGTCGCTGCCTCAATCACTCATTTCCTCGAACTTCAAACTAGTTCGGGGCTACATTCCAGAGACTCTGACGTGGCTAACTTCTTCATCTCAAGTTCTTTCGAAGCTCCATCTCCCATACTTCTGCACAAAAACCACCGATGAATTCCTACCACGGAGGCTTCCTTCATTTGCTTTCGATTATTTTGGCATTTCTTCCGTTGCTCTGCCAGCGTTACCTTTAACTTTTCTTATGGTTGTCGCAACAAATTTACGAGAATAAAACGTTTTTAGCGCATTTTCTCATTCATGAAAAAAATGCCTATTGTGCTCGTCATGTCCGTCCGTCCGTCTGTCCGTCCGTGACTTAACGTTTTCGTCGATTTTGAGAAAATACGCTCTCTGTCACTCACTGCAGTGAATACTGAGTAATATTTTTTTTTCGTATGCTAGGACGCATTCAAATGCAGTTATAGGGGTTAGACAAAATACGGGAAATATCTTAAAAACCAGAAAATAAATTTTAGTATGGTAGGTCCACCTTTTGCAGCAATTACAGCCTCAATTCTGCAAGATATTGATTCATACAAGTTTTGAATTGTTTCCAGAAGAATTTTAACTAATTATTCAGTTAAGATTCCTCCCAGCTCTTTCAAAGACGATGGCGGCGGGAATTGACTTATGATTTGCACTTCCTAAAATCGACCATAAATGCTTGATAATATTCAGGTCTGGTGATTGCGGAGGATGGAAATAAGGTAAACGATAATTCGGATTTAACACCAATCTAAACGCTTCGAAACATTTGCATTTGAAACCAGTTGTTTTCTATAATTGCAGCTCTTCCATAGAGCCCAGATTTGTGCAGCTCTCGACGGACAGTCTTCATGGAAACTGTGTTCTGTAGGTCTGCAGTAATTTTAACAGCCGTGGTCTTTCGACTGTCCTTCACAATTTGATTTAGGTACTGATGGTCTCTTTCAGACAACTTTGACTTTCGACCAGACCTGCGCGTTGCTGAGGACGTTTTTCCTTCTCTTTCAATAGCAGTCATTACTTTTGAGACAGCACTTCTAGAAACGTCGAACATTCGGGACGTTTGTCACACTAGCACCTGCCATACGAGCACCAACAATTTGGTCTCGAGAGGTTTGCCATTTATAGGATATAGACACAAAAATGACTAAAAATATCTGTGCAAGGATAAAATATCAATTAGCAGCAACAATGAGCAATAAAACATAAAAATATGTCACGTTTTCATTGTTTATAACATATTAAAAAATTACGATATCAAAATGTCAGGTGTTTCCCTTATTTGGTCCAACCCCTGTAGCTCACCTTGCATTTTACTCTTTTGCCTGGGAAAAAATTATCGACGGCTTCATAAAATGTTAGTCTATTGGAATGAATTTACAGTTGATTTTTTTCGTTATATCACTCACAGGTGGAATTCCTGACAGATGTCAATGTGAATTTTGCGTTCTTAGGAAGCATTGTTCATAGTATTTAGGATGTCAGCAAATCACATGTCTATATTATTTTATCAGAGTAATAAGATAACTTTTTTGTTGGAATGAAGACATTTTTCCTAGCTGTGCCAGTTACGAATAATGCTTAACTTGTTAAGATCGTTAGTCAAAACTGAGCTACAGACGATAAATTCCACAGGTTTGGGAGAGGAAGGACTCAATACTGAATCTGGTTTATTGTTGGCCAGTACAGAGCAGGTGGTGCACTTACAAGAGCAAGTTTACTTGTTGAAGTTGGCACTGAATGTAGACTATTTCTTAACTGGATTAATTAGAGGAATTGGGACTGTTGCCGGCCGAAATGCTACAAACTTCTTACTGAATTTACTCATAGTTGTTTTGAGTATCCACATCCTGAGCAATAAAGGCTGCCAAGAATGCGTATTGTTCAATGGTACCATGAGCAATTCTTATGCATTATTTTCCTTTGTTTTATTTTTCTTGATAAGTTAGGTCTTTGCTGTATTGTATTGCAGGGACCACCCCTTGATCTTAATTCCCCAGCACATTTTCATCCACATCGCTCTCGTCAGAATTCCCATGCTCAAGTTTACGTGAAAATTAATCTCAATAAAATCCATTTATCATTAGTTCACTCGAATCACAAATTAACCTAGTCCAGTCAAACTTTTAAAAATTTCATTTAAATAATTTCTAAGACATTAGAGTGAATTTGCCTAGCATTTACGTACTTTGGATTTATATGGAATCGATAAACTTGAATTCACGAGTAGTGGCAACTAAGTCTGTGAATGCCGAAATTTTATCCCTGAAGCATTTGAAGGGATAAATGAATTTGAATTCACGAGTAGTGGCAACTAAGTCAGTGAATGCCGAAATTTTATCCCTGAAGCATTTGAAGGGATCAATGAATTTGAATTCACGAGTAGTGGCAACTAAGTCTGTGAATGCCAAAATTTTATCCCTGAAGCATTTGAAGGGATCAGTGAATTTGAATTCACGAGTAGTGACAACTAAGTCTGTGAATGCCGAAATTTTATCCTTATAGCAATTAAATTTTTATTTGTCTGACCTCAGACAAAAACGTGGCGTAAGTGGAACCCGCCGGCCGGTGGGACGGGCGCATCGGGGCAGCGGTCATTAGCTTTGTCCCCCCGCGGGCAGTCGGCGCCTTCAGGCAGACGCGGCCACAGCGCCGTGCTCGCCGGCAACAAAATGATCGTTTACGGTGGCTTCCAGGACCTGCATGGCTCAACCAACGAGATGTGGACCTTCATTGTCCTTCAATGTCGGTTAGTTCATTGGTAACTTAGGTATCTAAGTTTACGGTGGCTTCCACAGGACCTGCATGGCTCAACCAACGAGATGTGGACCTTCAATGTCGGTTAGTTCATTGGTAACTTCGGTAATCTAAGTTTGCGTTGACCTTTATCTTGGGGCCTGCACATTTTAGCGTTTGGCGCAGTCCGTGTTTCAATAACCGGCAAAGTTTATTGATCAGATACGACGATCTGTTTTGATTGTAATGATGAAATTACTAACCATGTATGCCAATATTGTTAATAGTTTGTACTAGGAGATCATGGCTCAATCATGATGTAATCAGGACTCCCAAAGTTCTAATTGGGATGGAAAAATCGTGAAAATCTTAGATGGAGAATTTTGGAAAGATCCAAGAACTATATTAGTGGATCTTTGGTTTCATCCATTAGCCGGCTGCAAAAGTTGTGTTTTGCATAGGTTTAGAGGGTTCTTACGATACTATCAAACTGCTTTGTTTCCGTTGGCTAGGTCTTTCTAATTGATATTAATATGTGAGGAATTTGTTTTTTTTTTAGGAAAAACTCGATGTCCATAGATTGTAAACTTGTTCGCGTATTTTTGCAAGCAGAAAATTCCTTCGATGATAAGTGATCTGGTCCAAGCTTCTTAAAAATTTTATTCTAATTTAACACTAGAAATCCGTAAAACATCTGATAAAAACGGCGGAACAGTTTATTTTCACGGGGCGACCGGCCACTAGAATGCCAGAGGGACCGTTTTTTTTCGCCTTTTTTTCTAACGGTGTAAGTTTATTTAAAGTTAAGAGAATATCTTTGATACTACTGTTTCCGAAGTATTTAACAAGACATATTCGTTCTGCTGAACTCGGACTTCTTTTTATGAAACCTCGATTTTAGAATCCAATAATTTCTCATGAAACCTTCTCTTTGTCAATCATTGCAAATTGTTTTTTATAATGTGAAGTATCAGCTTATTTTAAACTGCATTTCTTATTTGATCGTGAAAACTAAGTCAGGCCAGCGCCGCTAACAAGCCGTAATGCTACTGCCGGCAGTATCCGAGGGACGGCCGATAAAGGCTGTTTCGTAACTCTGAATTATGTCGGGAATAACTGTAAAACATGCCGCTTACAAATAAGCTGGAAATAAATTTCATTCTAAAAATACAAGATTGACCCATTATTAGATAGTTTGGCTTGTCCGTGTCAGTGTTCACGCTCTGATGAGATGTGCATCGAATCATCCGTTCCACTCCTCAATAATTTCGTCATAATTTTTTATCAAAGAGAATATTAAAGGGTTAGCTTTGAACCTCAAAAAAAGTGAATTCCAATGCTTTAATTAGCTTTTTCGCTTTTATTTACTCACGAACCGTTGAGAATAGTGTTGTGGGAGAGGTTCGAATCTTTTAGATGTTGTACGTTTCACTTAATGATTTACGACGTTACGGTGGCAGAATTGAATTAAAAGCTATAATTTCAGTGAGTTCTAAAATTTACGTTTGTCGCTGCTATAACCGAGCTACGAGCGTTTGTGATATTTAAAATGTAGCTGCGGAATATAGCGTTACGTGGTGTTAATTGTTAATTCAGAGTACATTAACACTTCCTGGCGCTCGTGAGTCTGAATTGCTCGTATTATCGTTAACTGTTGTGATGTTAGTAATTGTAATTAAGAAATAATTATAGGATCTCATTTACCAAAAATGAGCTCCGTTCAGGAAGCTCCCGACCGTCCAGCCATTAATGCTCTTATACCCAACTCTTTCATCCTGATCCTCATTAATCGGCTAAGCTTGCGCTACGTTTTCTACGCTTTCTTTTTAGCGCATTTTCTCATTTATGGAAAAAATGCCCTATTGTGCTCATGTCTGTCTGTCTGTCCGTGATTTCACGTTTTCGTCGACGAGAAAATGCGCTCTCTGTCACTCACTGCAATCAGTACTGACTTATATTTTTTGTAAATTCTATCATTTGTATCTATTTAATTTTAACATGCATGAGAGTTCATTATATTAATTGTAATTCAAATGCCCACGAAAAATCATCGTTCTTTTGTTGAGTGTCGGAAACTTCATCACTTCTCCACTCATTCTCGGTATGAGTGGAAATTATGCCTCGGTATGACTTAGAAAACATTTAATGGGTAAGAGAGCTCAATGTGCACTCAATCAAGGTTACAGTCGTCAGATTGTGTATGGAACAAAACTCCATGATAATGTTAATGTTTCTTGGATGTGTGATGCGATTGATATTGAAGTTCGATACAGTCGAAGCTGCTAGTATTTTACTGGCTTAAATTTTCAGGATGTGATGTTGATGCTTTATTGCATCATGCATTGTCGTAGAGTCCTTCATCGGCACCTCCCCCTTAACAAAAATATCAGTTTCATCATTCATCGACTCCAGTAAATCGATTTTTACTACTTTTACTTATGCCGTTGCTGCATTCTCAACCACGTAGTCCTTGTTGCAGATACGCCAATGATCAGCCTCGCAGCAGCGAGTCCTCTTGTTGTGGCGCGCAATAAAACGCGCCTGAAAATGATGTCATTTAGACTCAGCAGGCCTACAAAACTTGGCGCTGCTGCTGCTGCTGCTGCTGCTGCTGCTGCTGCTGCTGCAGTGCCGAGTCAATTGCCTCGTCGGCGTCTCGGGTGATGACGCCTGTAGGTTAGGTTAGGTTAGTCTATTGCCGCTCTATAATGTCGCGTCGCTCATCTTATACACTAAAGCTCATTTTGAACATGGTAACTTCTTTCTTGCGTCATTTTACAACTTTCCGCACTGCATAAGGTGTTAACTCAAGCTTATAATTGCTGTGGGTTTATCGTAAGAAATAGCGACGTTTCTTTCCCCCTACTGATGCTAGTAATAGATTTGCTCAGTCTGTATCCAGGGGCGTAATCGGCAAATTTTATATTAATCTGCGGATTTACGACATTTAGGTTAAACTTTACAGTTCAATTTTTCATACCATTGTTGTAGAGTTGTCAGAAACACAGATCCCCGTATCTTTTTTTCGCGTCAGGGCATCTATATATATGGAGGGCTGTCGACCATTTCTGACAAATTTTCCATGAACGTCAGCTGGGATTTACGAGTTGATACTCCGCGCTACCATTTCGCTCGCTTTCTGAAAGCGTAGCTGTATTTCGACGCTCCNTCTGACAAATTTTCCATGAACGTCAGCTGGGATTTACGAGTTGATACTCCGCGCTACCATTTCGCTCGCTTTCTGAAAGCGTAGCTGTATTTCGACGCTCCCAATTTGTATTCGTCGCGTCCCCTAGCGCAGTTCATTCCTATTTACCGGATGCGATCCGTGCACTTACTCTCCTTATTTCTGTGGGATGCGTTCAGTCTGATCCGGTAAACTTATTTATGAATGTGCTGAAGAATGCTACGGCTTTCGTAGGATCGTGTGTTCAACACCAGTAAATCTGACGTATATTTTACATCCAATACGAAAGCTAGTACGAAATTTACTATACCAGTATTATCATAATCTGTCAAATAGTTCAACGTATCTAAATAGTTTCCGCGTCAGATTCGATGACTGAATGATACGAAAAGTTTAATCAGAATGAGTATTTTATTTTTCCAAATTATGAGAAACAATTTTTTGATCTATGGATATTAACTTGTATTTCTTGTTTTTTTCGGGTTTCGAATAATAATAATAATAATTTTTATCTATGTTTAACGTTATTGAAATTCTAACTTGAAAATAAGTCCACAAATTTGAGTAGCTTATTCTTTTGTATTTTGTAATAATTAGTGCTCAATTTCACTCGCACTGAAATCTTGATCTCAAAAAGCTTGTACCTCCAGCGATATCTTTAATGTTCTAAACGCTGATCTTCTGATTCCAACCTGTAAATAGGAAGGCTGACGAAACAAAAGTTTCACGTGCTCCAAATTTCTAAGAATCTTTTGATTATACAAGATAATTAATACCCTTTCACAGCGACTGCTTACTTACACAATTTATTCTCAAGTTCTCCAGTCGCCTTGCGAGTCACCCGTCACTGTTTCAGTCATTGAATTTAAGCCCAAGCACCTTACAGTCCCTTGAGGAAGGAAATTCGCTTCGGGTAGTTACCTGGCGTCTATTAAATTAACCGCGCTCTTGGTGACAGTCGGCCGCTATATAGTTTCGTTTTATCGAATTAATTTTGTCTCTCACTCACACGAATTCTCTCGCATCAAAGCATTTAATTGTTGTAGAAGTCAATGTTACGTTCCTAGGCGTTGCTTTCATCGTATTTGTGTTGTTTCATTCATGGCTTTAAAATTTTATTTAATATATTTATAAAAGATGTAAATATTTATATAAATTCTGTTAAATATTTTAAAACGTTTTATTGTATTTGTTTGCATTTATGTATTCTTTTTTATTTTGCGAACGTTTTACGAGGTCACATGAACAATTGAACATATTAAATTCGCTTTGTTGCCTAAATCGATAGACTCGGCCCAGTTCGAAGCATAGAAGCGAGAACACACATTGAGCCAACCTCTCTCGTGGCGTCACTGCTGCCACCGGGGCTAATTTACTTACAACTCAATCGATTCCATAAATTCCTTGTGAAAAAATTCCTTTTCTTTGTTGTTGTGCATCGACGGCGCTCATTTACACCGTGAGATTCTTGCATTCAAAATGAAGGTCTGATTCTGTTAAAATTATTCATGGTCCAGTTTTACTCTGCCGTAAACTTCTAGTTTTGAAATTAATAACAATATCGTCACAATTGACATAAATTGCAATCGATTTTTAGTACTTAGTAATTCCAATAAATTCGTTGGCCATACTTTCAACAGAAAATCTCATGTAAATCGACAGTGCGTAAGTTCATAACGGTATTCGTTCTGATTAAATATGGACAAAACTCCCTTCGCTTCTTCAACTCTTTTATCTCGACCGCTTAATTACCACCGTTGCTCGTCAGTGCATTTACTGAATTATTCAGTAAGGTCGTTTCGTGTGCCGAGCGTCGTTTATCGCAGGCAATGTCTGCTAGGACCTTCGTCGAGGTTTAAAAGACTCGGGGGCTGAGCAGCATCTCCTAAATAGGCTTCTTCCATCACCTCTACAATGGCAGCGTACAACACATAGGCTGAGACTGACGCTGACTCAGCTGCAAGCCACTCTCTCCTCGATCTGTGTCGCTACATTTACCCCTTTCAAGGGAAAATTGTACTACCACCTTTTGCGGATGAACTTAGGCCTGATTTTTTTCTTTCTTTTAAACGGACATCTCAGTTTCTGCAAATGTTCAAGAAATAACGATTTCTTGAACATTTCTTTTCTTTTTTCCCATGTACGGCATCCAAATTGTTTTACTTGTTGGATGGAAATATCGTGTCCTAAGATGATTGACTAATCGCACTAAATGAGTTCATCTTGAAAATCTGTTGAGAATATTACCTGAATTATTATTATTATTACAGAAACTAAACGAAATAAAATGTTACTATTTCTTTATTTTGCCATCCAATTATTATTGGTGCTGCAATAAGTGGAATTCATCATTAGGATCCTGAAAGCACTTGCAATTAAGGTGTCTCATAAAGCAAGGCTTCTAAGTATCCAGCAAAAGTACTCACATTGAAGTAGTCTCGTGAAGCAGAGCTTCAAATTCTCCTTCAAAAGTACATACATTAACGCAGTCTCTTGAAGCAGAGCTTCAAATTCTCGGTCAAAAGTACATACATTAACGCAGTCTCTTGAAGCAGAGCTTCCAAGTCTCTTGCAAAAGTACTTACATTAACGCAGTCTCGTGAAGCAGGGCTTCTAAGTTTCTTGCCAAAGTACTTACATTAACGCAGTCTCGTGAAGCAGCGCTTCTAAGTCTCGTGCAGAAGTACTTACATTAGCGCAGTCTCGTGAAGCAGGGCTTCAAAATTTCTTGCAATAGTACTTACATTAAACGCAGTCTCGTGAAGCAGAGCTTCTAAGTCTCTTGCAAAAGTACTTACACTAATGCAGTCTAATGAAGCAGAGCTTCAAAGTTTCTTGCAAAAGTACCTACATTAACGCAGTCTCGTGAAGCAGAGCTTCCAAGTCTCCTGCAAAAGTACTTACATTAACGCAGTCTCGTGAAGCAGGGCTTCCAAGTCTAAAGCATAAGTACTTACATTAACGCAGTCTCGTGAAGCAGGGCTTCAGAGTTTTTTGCAAAAATACTTACATTAACGCAGTCTCGTGAAGCAGGGCTTCCAAGTCTAAAGCATAAGTGCTTACATTAAATCGGCCCCGTGAAATTGAAACCAATATTATTTGCCCTCAACTCGATAAGGCTATCACGTTATGCAGATTGGAAGCTGCTTTCTGTAGCTCCAATTGTGTGATCTCTAAAAATTGGGAAGGTTTTTGAAAATTAAATATTGACGATCGTGAGAAGGTCTGCGATGAAATTAAATATTCAGGCTATGAATACTTTTCAGGCAATAGAAAGGTATTCACTTAATAGAATTCAATATTTAGGCAATAGAAAAAACGAGAAATTATGTATTTCAATTGGGTGAACATTCCCTAGGAAAAAGAAACGATGTATAAAAAGCAATAAGAGATCAAATACTTTCTGAAATGTACTCAACCAGCAGAACGCTCCGTCGCATCGGTAGTCGAAGCAATTTGAGAAATCCGACGGCGAACATAGCGATCGCCCGCAGTTCCTTGGCAATTTTTGGCCAACGGGGGAAAAAAAGAAGTGTTTCATGTCGTCTTCAGAGCCAATTTGCAACTCAAGTGACGAGTAAATTTCAGGCGAACGCATTTAAATATTCCTAAATTTCAAATCCACTACCACGAAAACTACTGCGAGACTAGCAAACGTGACGAAAAAATTTGAAGGGACGTTTTGAACTATGTAAATTTTCTGTGTCAATTGTATGCCAGAAATTTTCAGTATGATACCGATTCAGATACGAATCCTATCAATACATAGCTTTAGTTTCCACTAGTACTATCGTAGATGTCTGTCACTAACTCGTTTTATTATAGGATTAATGCTCTCCTATATGAACATAGGACATTTTAAACTGGAACTGAACGTCAGGGATGGAATTGATAAATTAAAATTTTTCAAAATTTGCAATCATTTCCTAATATACTTTAATTGATAAGTTTGGATAAAATTACAGACGTTTCATTGAAATTAATTTATTTATTTGAAGAGGCTTCCCCCTGAGTATGGAAGTGATGAGTTTCCTAATTATTGTCTACTGTCGGCAACTATATATTCATATATATTATTGTATATGTCGGCAACTATATATATGTATATAAGGTCACGGCACATTACAAACTGACCATGCTATATACTTGGTTCTAATTGAATAGGTACTAATGATGATCAAATACTGTGTCTAACATACTGTAGCATCCACAATACAGCTTAACGCCATCTTTCAAACGAAGTTAGTAAATTTTTAGTATAATAATAATATTATTATACTAATATTATACTAATTATTTATACCCCGTAATTATAATTATACCCCGTAATATTCTCTAATTCTCCTATTCAGTTAGTTTTTTTTCCAAATCCGAGGAAAATAATGTGTGAATTGGAGAGAGAGTCTGTATTTTTTGTATGCACATCATGACCTAATAGTTACTTCTAAACAATTTTCATAACTCTCCATACATCACCTAAATATTAGGTAATGAAATAATTCTAAATTTACTCTCTATGTTATGTCATTTCCTTTCCTTATATTATGTCGCTCCTGCTCCTCAGACCAAATGCCTTCTTTTCATGATATAATTTCGTACTGTAGTCTATGTACTGGAGCTGTATCATCAAAACCCGCTCAAGTGTATATTAACGTTTCGGCCGATTTCTCATCTGTGAGTTGGTTGGTTTAGCTTGAAAAGTCGTCTTTGATTGACTGGTGGAGTTACCAACTCGCAAGTATTTACGACACTTTTTTCATCTTCACATCTTGTTGTTGGTTTGTTTTTCTGCTATAATTATTTTAATCTATATGTAACACACTTCTACCTGTCCAATCGACTACACTCGGCACAAAGTTATTCTGGGTCTGCGTTGTTACCCGATCGAAATCAGTTTCTGGTCAGAACCCCTCATCCGACTTTATGGTCGCCATCTGACGCTCGTTCTCATCCGACAGGCACGGAGGTGTGGCAGAAGGTGTGCTGCCGCGACGACCTGCCACCCGCACGCCACTCGCACACCACTCCTCAAAATTTTGTTAGGTTCTGACGCTCGTTCTCATCCGACAGACACGGAGGTGTGGCAGAAGGTGTGCTGCCGCGGCGACCTGCCACCCGCCCGCCACGCGCACACCGCGGTGCTCTACGACGGCTTCATGTGGGTCTACGGCGGCATGACAGACCTGCAGGAGAGAAACGACCTCTGGAAGTATCACGTTGGTCAGTTGATTGTACTACTAAATATCTTTTTTTTAGAAGACAATATGAGTGAATTTATATTGTGTTGCATACATTTTTTAATATGGAATTCATCTTGAAAATATACCTAATTTCTGTTCCACGTGAATGTCTTGAACGAACGTCTTTTATCCTCTTGTTGGTAACTTGTCAGCAGGCTTTTTAGCACGTTTGATGTCAAACGTGTAGAGGTGAGCAGCATTGACGACGGTTAATGCGTCATTTTAAATAAACTTTTAATGTGCATGTTTAATGCATGTGCATGTGCGGTACCTACAGAAGTACATTATAAAAAAGTTTTTCAATGTTCATTTGCGGTCAAAAAGTACGGCTTAATTCAAGCTTGTAGCTCACTTTACATGTTTTAATTCAACATGATTTAAGCCATCACCTACGTGTAGGTCATTGCTTTACTTCAATGATTGTGCTTCTAGGCGCGTTCCTTGCAATGATGTATTAAAATTATCTGATCGGTAAATGAATCGCGTAGTTACTGTATTTCTTTATTAATTGGTGTTATGAAGATTTTTATCTACCAAATCATCTTCATCTTTGCCTCCAATCATTTCGCCACATTGTGGACAAAGATTTACCATTCAAGAAGTTGATTAGCTTCGCTATTATTTTCCTTCGTTGCGCTGCAATAGCGAGTCCTATTTAGCATGCAGTGCCACGTCGAGCTATTGGCCTGCCTATAATTTCGTTCAGTCTAAAAGAACTACAAAAAATATACTTCAGTACTCACTGCAGTGAGTGACAGAGAGCGCATTTTCTCGTCGACGAAAACGTGAAGTCACGGACGGACAGACAGATAGACGGACATGGCGAGGACAATAGCGCCTTTTTCCATAAATGAGAAAATGCGCTAAAAATCCTGCAATAATATTTGCAAACTCTTCAGGCTGCTAAGATTTTCTTCGATAAAATTGAGGATAAATGTGATTTTCTGATTGCCGGTGGAGGGGGCGTTTTTCCTTCTGTAAGCCAAATGGGGTAGATTGCTCGAGCTTTTCTTTTGTGCGATGGTAGTTGGAATTCAATCCCAATCATCGGTTGAATACGAATGTTACTCTTGTATTAAAAGAATAGAATAATTCACTTGACAATATAGTACTACATATAAACGAGTTTTAAATTTATTGATTTTGACGCCCGCATCATGAAATCAATCTATTTTTGTATTTTAAAGAAATGCTGAAATTTATTGATTATATAGTTAGCTTGAGAAAGTGTGCAAATTGTAATTATCGATTACCTTCAAGTAAAAGGTATCCACTGATTTTGAAAAATGATTTGTCTTTGTTGAATACGACGCCTCTTCCTCGACCACAGCGTTTGGCAGGTTGAGAAAGACTAACGACTTGTCGAAAGTAACTTGACGACGCTGTCGCCCTAAGGCGATGCTGACATTACTCTTCATCTCGATTTCTTTCTTAACTCCCGCAGTTTGCTCGCTCCTCGTATGAAATCATTTAAAAGTCTTTAATATATCCTTACTCTAATAAATAATCCATACTCTATAAATAATCCTTACTATCATAGGAATACCGAAAGTTTACCTTTCGTTTGTACCTGAAGCCGGGCAATGTCTGGTGAAATGCGACACAAGAAATTTATATTGTCTTCCATAAATTATTAATATCGAATTTATCTTGAAAATGTACCTACTCTCTGTTCCATCAGAATGGCTTAAAATATTTTCAATTCAAATTGAAAGTTCCATTAATTATTTTGGAACCCTGACTATACAGTGTTTTTTTCCATTCTATTTTCTCGAAGATTTTGATGGATTTTGAGCAAATACTTTTGTTCGACGTTTTATAAAGGTACAAAATTTACTCAAATAGTCTTTTAATTACTTGAATTTTGTCCGAATATCGACAAATACCTCATGCCGAAAATTCATTATAAAATTTCTAGAATATACTCTTTTCTTAGATTGACTATTCTCAAGACGGATTCAATCATAAAACCATATTACGGTGACTTATTTCAGTACTAATTTCCTACATTTATGCACCAAATTTATATATACCTAAAATGTAGAGTTCATTTTGAAAAGGTACATTGTAAGTAGTTTATGAAATATTTTTACAATAAAAATGCGCTTACAGGAAAAGATATGAATTTGCCATATTCTTCTAACAATGTTTGCTTTAAATAATGAATAATTTTCTGCTGTAAATGATTTTACGACAGAGTCTCGGTGTTGCTGTACCTCAGAGTCTCGGTGTTGCTGTACCTCAGAGTCTCATCCTGCAACACTACCAGCGGCGAGAAGCAAGCAACAGCATCGTGCATCAGGTGGCCCAAATGAGGGCGGATGAACGATAATCAGAGGCGGCGATCCATCGTGGCCTGGGACTGCTATGTCCCAAACAAATACTAAGGATACTGTGTTGCTGTATCTCAGAGTCTCGGTGTTGCTGTCCCTCAGAGTCTCGGTGTTGCTGTACATTAGAGTCTCAGTGTTGCTGTACCTCAGAGTCTCGGTGTTGCTGTACCTCAGAGTCTCAGTGTTGTACCTCAGAGTCTCAGTGTTGCTGTACCTCAGAGACTCGGTGTTGTACCTCAGAGTCTGTGTTGTACCTCAGAGTCTGTGTTGTACCTCAGAGTCTCTGTGTTGCTGTACCCCAGAGTATATGTGTTGTACCTCAGAGTCTCTGTGTTGCTGTACCCCAGAGTCTCTGTGTTGTTGTACCTCAGAGTCTCTGTTATACCCAGAGTCGCGAACCTGGACGGTTGTGCGGGCTCGGCAAGGTCCCGGATGCCTGCACTCGCACGTGGCTGCGGTGTTGCGCGGTGTCATGGTCGTCTTCGGCGGCGAGCGCCAGGGGGAGCTCCTGGATGAGCTGTGGCGATTCCACTTCAGTAAGGCATATATTCATGCATGGTTGAACTAATATAAAGTTGACCTATCAGAAGCCCATTTTGTGGTTGAACTACTATAAGGTTGACCCATAAGAAGCCCATTTTGCGGATGAACTAGTATAAGGTTGAGCCATCAGAAGCCCATTTTGCGGATGAACTAGTATAAGGTTGACCCATCAGAAGCCCATTTTGCGGTTGAACTAGTATAAGGTTGACCCATCAGAAGCCCATTTTGCGGTTGAACTACTATAAGGTTGACCCATCAAAAGCCCATTTTGCGGTTGAACTAATATAAAGTTGACCCATCAGAAGCCCATTTTGCGGTTGAACTACTATAAGGTTGACCCATCAGAAGCCCATTTTGCGGTTGAACTACTAAAAGGTTGAACCATCAGAAGCCCATTTTGCGGTTGAACTACTATAAGCTTGACCCATCAGAAGCCCATTTTGCGGCGGCGAGCGCCAGGGGAAGCTGCTGGATGAGCTGTGACGATTCCACTTCAGTAAGACTTATAAGTACTTATATTATCAGTCTGCTTATATCGCAAGTTCACAAGGAATTTAAAAGCAAAGAAAACACCAAACAAATTCACCATATCGATGGAGCAGGGCTCAGAAACGTTTTCAATATCAATATAGTGAATTTGCTTAGTAAGACTTATATTCATGCATATATGAACTAGTACCTATAAGGTTGACCCATCAGAAGCTCATTTTTGCGGATGTAGTTCGTTGTTCGCCTGTGACGTTACTGATCTCAGTGACGTCACAGGCATTAACCAATCTCCGAAATGCGATCAAACCAGTCAACCAATCCGTCATGGGAACGACGGGTTTGTTTACGTTTCTCGATCTACGTGACGTAACAATAAAGCTGAACTGAAAGATGGAACTTCTCGTGGGTCAACCTTTTCAACCATGTATTCAAGTGTATGCTGTTGGGTTACACCTGAGCAATAGTCCTTAAATCACCGTTCGTCTGATCATTTTAAGACATCTTGCCGTTACGGTTGAACTACTATGAGGTTGACCCATCAGAAGCCCATTTTGCGGTTGAACTACTATAAAGTTGACCCATCAGAAGCCCATTTTGCGGTTGAACTAATATAAAGTTGACCCATCAGAAGCCCATTTTGCGGTTGAACTACTATAAAGTTGACCCATCAGAAGCCCATTTTGCGGTTGACTCCCGCGAAATACTATAAGGTTGACCCATCAGAAGCCCATTTTTGCGGATGTAGTTCGTTGTTCGCCTGCGACGTCACTGATCTCAGTGACGTCACGGGCTTTCACCAATCACCGAAATGCGATCAAAGCAGTCGACCAATCAGTCACGGGAATGACGTGTTTGTTTTCGTTTCACGATCTACGTGACGTAACAAGAAAGCTGAACTGAAAGACGGAACTTCTCGTGGGTCAACCTTATATAGTTCAACCATGTATTCAAGTGTATGCTGTTTGGTTACACTCCAGCAATAGTCCTTACATTACCGTTCGTATGATCATTTTAACAAATCTTGCCGTTAATTAGCAACCTACTGCTCGATCATACCATGATTGCTATGTTCGCTTAAATCATTGAATTTTAAAACGTGAGAGGGTAGGGTGGCCAACAGTAACAGTACCAGGAATGGAGCTGTGAGCTGTGGGTTCGATCCCAGCTTCCTGCGACAGTTCTGGTCAAATCGGCGAGGAGGCTGGGGGTCGTTAAAAGTAACGTAAAATTGGAGCAGTGACTTGCTTGTTTGAGACCCGCAACAAGCTGTGAATGTTCTGCATTCAGAATCGGCGACATGTCTAACGGCTTGATAAACGCTGAGACCGCTTCACTACCATTATACCTATACACACAATTAGTTGCAATGGTCGAGGCCACTTCTCGTTGAATAAGTTTCTTTGTTTGAAGCCTAGTGCTATAAAGGCATCGATAAATGAAGGTGAAATTCAAGTCTAAAAATAAAAAAGCGATTTTTAAATCAGTAAGAGTAGGTATATTTATTAGGAGAAAGTTCACGTTTGCTTAACATTTCAGAACTGACCGAATATGAGTTCAGTGCTGGATGGGTGTTAGAACGGATTGCTCAATAATAAGGGTACCTACCCGAGTTTGATTATTATTAACTGGATTCTTAATGACGGAGATTCTGGACGACGTGATTCTTTCATCCAAATTCGGTTTCTCAAATTGCAAGGATTATCATCTATTCTGAGCTACGCCGGGCTACCTCATACTTATTAATATGAAAAACAAGATTGTGAACTGCAGTAGATGATTCTAAAGTGGTTGAGGCAATTTTTCACTTATATTCTTAGTATAGGAACGAAGAGTCTTCATAGTAGGAAGCGATATGAGTGAATTGCCATGTTTGCCGCTGCGAATACTGGCTGAATTAGTCGTTTACGTGGCTGATTTATAATGTGCTCATAGAATGTATACGTACTTTGTATATGTCGTGTTCAGGTCATTTCATAAACTTGTTTCTTTACTTACTTGGGAAAACATAATACCGTAGTATTTCTATGACTTATCATTTGAGATTCTGGACAATAACATCACCAGCATACAAATTTCATCCGTCCAGTTCGTTAATGATATATTATGCTCTTCTTGACTCATGCATTTTTCGTCAACAAGAATCAGTACGGTTCATCTCGCACCCTAATATACGTGTCTAACTTCAGTATATAATTCCCAGGTACACTGATATGGGAGAGACTCATACCATCGGGCCCTAAACCTCAACCTCGTTCCCAATTCTGCGCCTTCGTGGCCCCATCTCACGGGCTCAAGACTTCCCGCTACACTTCAGCGCATTCCACCCTGGGCTCAACCTCCACCACCTCGACGGGTGGAAGCAGCTACACCAGCGGCTACGGTAGCGGCTGCAGTGGTAGCATCGACGGAGGTTCCAGGTTCCGAAGGGACGGACCAGGTCCTGGTGGTTTCGGAGGTTCAACCATACATGAGCGAGAAGGCTGCCCGTGTCATGACTTTGACTCACCGAGTGACGATGGGGATGATGAAATTGACCCTAATAGATTACGTTACCTCATTCAAAAGAATTGTGTGAATAATTCTCAAACCGGTAACTTGAAACTTTCGATTTCTAAAATTTCCCAGCTAAACTTATCTCACTTAGGGAAGTATTATAATTATAGTATGCTTAGCAATGATAGCACGGAAAGTGTAGTGGAGGACTCTGTAGCTAGTACCTGTGATAGTTACGGTGGTAAACTCATGAAATCACAATCTATACAAGGATTGAAAGACAAGGTTCTGCGCAACGAAGAATCGGGAAGTATGAATACTCTTTCTCGTGACATTCTGTCCGTTCCTAATTTTGGGGACGTCATTGGACCGGAAATCAGTCATTCAAAGGAGGAAAATATATTTTCGTCGGCAAGTAAAAGTAGACTTGGTAACGTCGAATGTCTGGAAGATCTAGAAGACGATACCGCTAACGTTCCAGCACACTCTATTCACGGTCACCTCGCGTTCCGTAGTGACCCAGTTGGTAGATCTACCGATACGAGTATCAGTGATAACCTCATGTCTTTCTCTTGCACAGAAAGTTCACACGGTAGTCAAGCCAATGTAAACGACTCTTCTAATGGCTGTAGTGGAAGCTTCGCGAACCCTAACTACGTAGCGTCGTCCGAATCTGGTAGAAACGAGGGTGGTTTACTTAGTCAAGATTATTGGAGGAAAGGGGCTTTAGACCTTGAAAGTGTCCGGCACAAACAGTTTGCTGAAATCTTGAGAACTCCTCCGGATTCTGGTATTGGTTTAGGAGTCGAAATGGAAGGACGGGCGCCTAAAGATGTTAGTATCAAAACTTTAGAAGATTTTGTTAACTTGGACTACCAAAAGACTATTTACAGGAAATCATATCAACCTGTGTATCCTGTTGTGGGTGTTATGGAACCTATGTTTAGTGGGTCTGAAAATTGCGGTCTGGGGTCAAGAAATACGCCGGATGGAGCAGGTGGAGAGGGCAGAGTGGCGGAAGGAGTTGGAAGTGGTGGAGGCGGGACATCGAGAGTGACATTTGGTGATGCAAGCCAGACAGCTCCTCCGTCCCGTCCTAGAGTTTCTGGTGAAAGGAGCGGTGGTATTCTGACGAGTGCTCGAGTGAACCCATTTTTGAGGGTGGAACCGACCTCGGAACTCCTGGGTCCAGAAGTAATGTACATTGTAGGAGGAAAAGAAACCGGCCATCTTACAGTTAAGCGGCCATTATCCGTCTGGAAACTAGATTTCCCATTCTAGAAGGTACGTAGTATTAAGAGTTGTGTAGGTAACAGTTCATTGTAAATATTACCGATCAACTATTGATTAGCAATTCGAGTTGCCTAGCTGTGGCATTTTAAATTTTTTATGACGTGTTTTATGACAGAATTAAAGTACTGTAGTCCTGTACAAATTAACTTTAAGAAATTTGGTAATGTGTGCCGGATTGTGTTCGACACTGGTTTATTTTTTCGCAGTAAATTATTTACCCAATGTTGTCTTACAAGAATAACGGGAACAAATTAAACGAAAGTTAGCAATCACGGAGAATTGAGCTTCAACAAAAACCAGTTTCTCAAACGGCATGCCTTGTTCATTTTGTTTCCATAATTCATATGGCTAATAGCTCGACTGACTTAAATTAGTGCAATCATAAATGATCCATCATTGTTTCGATCGTCGAACAAATCTTTGCCTGTTCACCAAAATGTGTTATCGAATCAGCTGCAAAGCAGATGAGTTCGACAAATTTTCGGCAGTCAATTGATATGCGATTGGTTTATGCCTGACAGTATTTTACCGATAGTATGGCGTCAATAGCCAGTGAGGCTGGCCATTGATAGTCTCGTAAAAAGCTCGCCCAAATTTTTCGAACGCGATTGTTTGGGGTTATGCCGTCAGCCAGGTGGTTCGAGTGCAAAAAAAAAAGAACAAAGCGATTTTTTAGGCCAAAAAAATTGCGTTCTCATTTTCATTATAACAAATTTTGTTAGAATGCAATAAAAAAATTTTTTAACCAAAATTTACATTCACATTTTTAATTACAACCATTACTGTTTCCATTCAAACTTTCCCTGAAAATTTCAAAACTTCAAACGAGTTCTTGCAAGCTTCGTTGCAGACAAGAATTGGCCGGTCACAAGAATCCTGCCTTCCTTAAAGAAGAACGATCGCCCCTGACTGTCAAGCTGGCCTTGAGGGCCTCAGTTGCTGATGTTCTCTTTATTTTCCAGCGTACAGCTCTCGTCTTCATAATAAATAGTGAATGTTTGCCTCGCAGGTCTTCCCTGTGTTGCATTTATTGATTCATTTAATGAGAGGACCATGCAACTATTTTTCTTAGCTACTCGAGAATTCCAATTTGTATGAATCGATAAAATTCGGTTGAATTTCGCGAGGATAACAGCTCAAAATTCATCACATCTGTTTTATTGATTCATTTAATGGGGGCCATGCAACTATTTTCCTCAGCTACTCGAGGATTCCAATTTTTATGAAGTGATTAAATTCAATTAAATTTCGCGAGAATAATAGCTCAAAATTCTTCACATCTGTTCAGTTTGGAATGGCTTCTATGTTTGATGCTGCGACTTGATTTTGATCAGAAAATTCTGAGCGAATATTCTTGAGAAATTTTACTTGAAATGGGGTTGTCTGACCTTAACATTATCATCGTTCTATTTTTTTTATTCCTACTTCTAGTAGTAAGTTCTATTTATTATGGGAAAGCATTCCATGGTCTTCAGTGGACTGTGATCTTGATTTGCCTCTTCAACCTGCAGTAACCTAATAGGTTTTACGCACGACAATCACTGTCGATTCTTTGAAAATTTATTTAACTTTTGACGTTTATTATCACAGTGTTTACTATTATTTAAATGTATTTAAATGCAAAAAATTTATAAATCAATAGATTCTTTTCATTCAGTGTAAATAGATCGGTTGCAAAAACACACAACTGATCTACAACAGCTATCATGCAGCGTAACACGTACACTGAGTGGCATGTTATTGCAACCTTCGTAAGCTGAGGTTCTGGAACACATTAATTAACACACTACCGCCGTATGTCTCTCTCCGGGAAGATTACTTTAAACTTAAATCATACGTAAACTATTTGAGTGTAGCAACCTGAGGACGTTTGTACGCAACAGAGAACATTTTAAAGTTGTCGTACGTGGCGGCAACCATCAGTGCAAGTCATTTTGCGCTCACTAGAACGTATCTTTTTTGGGAAGTAGGCGCGTGACAATATTGCTCCGGTTACTCGCGTCAGGCGGTAGAGGGGTACCCACTATCCAGCCTTGAACAAATAAGTGAGTGAAATGCAGGCTTAATAGTCATGACGTATGACGCTTTTGATATCAATCATGAGGTGTCAAGTTCTTTTCCGCTGATTTATGAAATAAAATCATCGGAAAAATATTCCTGCCGATATCATATCGTAATGTATTGTGATTAAAAGCAATTGTGAGCGACATGTTTTTCTTCTTTGAATTCATTTTAATAATGACACATATGAGTAACAAAATCCTAATGATTTTTACATGCAACAACTTATTTTAATATCACGAATATTGTGAAATTGAAATAGTGTCGTGAAATTATCAGAATTATTTATATGCGTTTCAATTCAACGATCGAGTGCGCTAATGAGTCTCTTTCAAAATAAATTTCTAATCACGTACTATCAAGTCAAGGTTTGGTAAAAATAAGTTCCTTCCGGGAAACTACATAAGTGAAAAAGTTATGCTCTTAAATGACTAATGCGCCCTATAAATTGAGGCTATTGTTACTAGAGGCATCTGTGTCTCAAACAGGATTGTAACGATGTTCGTTATTCAAAAAATGCCTAGTTGATATCTCTTATTGAGGTTTGACTTTAATTATGCAAGAAAAAATTAATCGTGTATTCTTCAATATTCATACCAAGAATAACCACTTCTCAAACCATCCTAGCCATGGATTTTCTTCCCAAAATAAACTTCTTGTTACGCAGCGTTTTGCCGAGGAGTAGTTTGCCAAAACAATTACACTGTAAGCTATTTATGTTCATGGACACTGAAGAAAGAAAGCAGACAGTGTTAATAGAAGAAACCTATGATAGTTTCACAATCCGTATAGTTTTTTTTAATACGACGACTGCGAAACTACTGACTACCGTACATATCTGATTAGGTAGAGAAATGTTGGGGCTGAAATTCTATAGTTTATGTGTCCAGATCATATTGGTGATCCAGATCGAATAGCTGATGTTGATTAACTTTAAGGAATGTAATCCAGATCAAATCTATCCCTCGACCCCCGTACTTCTTACTGAACTGAATAACTGAAGAATCCAGTAAATTTTGCAACAGATCATTACGTAATTGAGAACTTTTTCTTATAGCGTCTCCATTATTTTTAGCCAACTCTGGGAGTCAACTACTCAACCAGTTTACTTTTGTTTGTAGATAAATCGGTCCACTGGTGTTGCTAGTCGTCCGTGTCGAAAGTAAAATATTTGTAACGAAAGTATATATTTTGAAGTAGATTAGAATTCTATTTGTCACTGCCATTTCAGAATATCCTGTTGAACTTCGTACCTAATGTTGGCTCGGACTAATTTTTTATATTTTATTCACATTCACGTGACCACGTACATGCGTGTGCTACTGCGGGGGATTATTTTTTAATGCTATCGAGATGTTCTTATTTAATTATAGCACCTGGAAAGTTACTTATCATTTATTATTAAATTATTCTCTTCGACACGCTTCATGATTTGAAGTGATAGTTGATGTATCGGTTTGTTTTTTGAAGTGAGTGTTGAAGTATCGGTTTTGAGTTTTTTTAACGAAATGCTGTGTATGACAAGGGCAGGCAATCGTCTACTGCAGAGAACCATTGAGAAAAATGTATAGTAACCAGAAGACCGCTTACATTTTTTGGAATATATCAAATAGAACGCATGTCTTACGCTTGACGTTTTAATAATTAGGATCAAATTGCGAATTAATGCTTTGAACACAATAAATTATAATATGGGGGGACATAGTTTGTTGCTTTTCTAAATTATTTTCCAACTCTTCACAAAATTAATAAATGCAGTACGTTTCTTGGAATAATTGAAAAAGTATATTAAATTTTACGTAAAATCACACTCATACGGTCCACATCATGAGTTTTACGGTCCGCATGATGCTAGCGGTCCGTATATAGTGTGCCCACACTTCCTACATTTTCCTGCATGCGATAACATTAGCTGATATTATTAGCGGCAAGTACTTTCCAAGGCAGTTTTGCTGGCTGAAAGCTTATACACGAGGAAAGTATCGGCTAGGCATTATTTCCCCATCCGCAAGCGCCACCGCGTCGTTAGAAGCCGTCGAGTGAAGTTAACGCTCGATGGAGGAAGATGGAACTTTCCTAACAAAATTTAGAGTCGCCCCAGCTTCTGGTAATCCAAATCAGAAGCTGCCGCGTCTGTAAATTTTCACTGGGAAGAACTCATACCCTAACAAAATTTAGAGTCGCCCCAGCTTCTGGTAATCCAAATCAGAAGCTGCAGCGTCTGTAAATTTTCACAAGGTTGATAATAACGGCGAGTTTGAGGAGGCTTTTGATGAAGCAGTTGGTGGCATTGTTACAACTCTAGCTGAGGAGGTGAAAAGCTTTGCTGATCAACGTAGAGTGTGAGTGAGAGACCTAATAAGGTCTGATTAAAACATTACTTTCTCAATTAGTTTTTGTTGGAGGTGTTCATCGTGACGACAGTGGATCGTGTTTTTTGAATATCTATAAGAACAGCTCAATGTCATCTGAAATCCTCTTAATGGTCTTAGAACCGTTGTCGTTGGGACAAGACATTGTTCATTGCATTAAAAGCACTTGCCCCGAATAGAGTAAAGAGCGGCGGAAAAGTGCACAGTATGGCTGCTGCAGCCCAACTGATGTCGCATACACGGCCTAAAAATGTCGCTTTCACGGCCTAAAAATGTCGCTTTCACGGCCTAAAAATGTCGCATACACGGCCTAAAAATGTCGCTTTCACGGCCTAAAAATTTCGCTTTCACGGCCTAAAAATGTCGCTTTCACGGCTTAAAAATGTCGCTTTCACGGCCTAAAAATGTCGCATACACGGCGTAAAAATGTCGCATACACGGCTTAAAAATGTCGCTTTCACGGCCTAAAAATGTCGCATTCACGGCGTAAAAATGGCGCATTCATGGCCTAAAAATATCGCTTTCACGGCCTAAAAATGCCAGTTTCACGGATTAAAAATGTCGCTTTCACGGCCTAAAAATGTCACTTTCACGGCCTAAAAAATGTCACTTTCACGGCCTAAAAATGTCGCTTTCACGGCCTAAAAATGTCGCTCACGTGGCCTAAAAATGTCACTTTCACGACCACTTGCGTACGCTTTCAGCTACTTTCTTCTGACGAAGAAATCAGCACGCTATTTGAAGTGGAAAGTATTCGTAGATAATACTATCATCTAATACTATCCCCATTTATAAGAACCTTAAGCAATTTTTTTTTTTTTTTTTGACTCTGCGAGTTGAAACTGGGGTTTAAAAGAAATAATTTTCTCTCAGGACTAAAATCACCCGAGAAAACATCATTATAATTTTGTTCGGGGAGCATCATGTACGTATACGTACATAGACAATGTCCGCCTAACGGCCTTTGAGCTGTGCAGTTCATTCTGCATTTTGCATTATGTTTATATGTAAAGTTTTTCGCCATTGTTTTCTATCATTATCATGTGCAAGTTATGTTATTATTATAATAATAACTATATTATTATTATTGTGATATATAGTCATGTTTGTTATCGCTATTTATTTACGTGTAGCTGCCGCATGTGGTAATTGTTGAGGCTCGCGATCTCGAACCATATGCGCTTTCGAATTCCTTTCTATCTCTATTCTGTTTACGATACTCAATTCTCTTGTAAATATTGTTATCGTTCATTTATTT